GTCGGGCGTCTGAGGGGAAATGAAATCGTCAAAACGCTTTGTGCGTCAGATTCATCGTCTCAGTGCACCCGTCACGACAGGCGGCCGTGACTGTGACACGGTCTGTGAATCTCTTCGGAGTAAGGCACAGGGTCGGGCTGATGGGGGTGGGGGGGGGGTGTCTGAAGGAGCAGGGAGCGGATGAGCTGAGGTATTATGGGCCGCAAGCAGAGGAAGCAGAGTAGTAGCCGATTGGCTGAAAGCGTGACAACATAGCTGCCCGTGGTGTCGACACAATAACTCCATGTTGTCGTCACGGGTGTTGTCATGGAGATGGGAGAGCCCTGCTGTCGTCGAGCCCCACCTGGTGCCTGGACTGGTCGGGCTCTCGGTCCAGGATGGGGCTCAGGCCTCTGAAGCCGGCGTACGGGCGCATCTGTGTCCCGTTCGCCACAGGCTGTCCCGACTGAGGCGAGGACGACTCGATGGGACAGACGTAATCTGTGGACTCGTCCGCTCGTCTTCTCCTGAGGTGAGTCAGGTTAGAGAAACCCAACTTCTTTGGCTGCAGAGGAGAAAGAGAAAGACAAGAGAAAGACACTGTCTCTGAATAACAGCTGTGAAATGTTAGACATGTGTGTGGGTCATATCTGAACATCTGGACACAGAAGTTACACGGCACCAACATGTTGTCATGTCTCACCGTCTCATGTCACAGTCTATTCTGCAAACCAGGTCATATCCGTCCACATCAATATTCATGGAGCACCTCAGGACGTTTGAGCTTTAGGTGTCCGAGGTTAAAAATGGGTCAACAGTTTTTTGTTTTTACGGTGGATCATTTATTTTCTGTTTTTCTTCAGCAGAGCGCACAGAGGGACTTAGCTCCGATGGCGGAGTCTTTAATCTGGGAGGAGGAGCGCAGCGGTCCCCGGGTGAGTCTGTTCTCACAGGCTTAAAAACACTGAGGGGCTCAGGGCTTAAACGGAGCTGACACACCGAGGTCTCACCACGGATTAAGGTGCTTTCTCTCACACGCAGCGAGCAGAGGAGGACGGGTTGTGTGTCTGTGTGTGTTCTCTTAACGCGGCCTCACGTCGACTCGCAGCACTCCCTCTTCTACTCTGAAATATAACGGCTCCCCTGTTTGCGTTGTCTCACCTTAACTTTAGCCGCGATGCTGAGAGGGGAGTAGCCCGCCGCCTCGGTGAACTCCTTCTTCTCCTGCTGCGCCTGTGTTCCCACCAGATTGTCGAAGTTGGTGGTTAGGTGGCGTCTCAGCAGCGTTTTCTGAGGAGGGATGTTCAGTAACATGGCCAGCGTGTCTGAGTTGAAGCGAGGCTCCAGCATCTGTGAGCAGAGATGAGTTTAAACTGAGTTCTGTAGCATAAAGGTGATAATCAGGCTGTTGATGAAGATGGCCGACAAGTCTCTGCCGCACTTATGGAGCTGTCGTGTCGTCCATCTTTATTCACACTCTATGGTCATGACAGCTACTCACTATGAGCCCTCCGTGCACGCCGCTGCCCCTCAGGTTCGGCGCGTACTCCGCCAGGTCCACGGATCTCAGCCACTCCATGACCCGGTGGTTGGACCACTGGACGACTTCACTGGGAGAGAACTGGTTCTGAGATGGACACAGGAACACTCATGGATGAGCAAAGACGCATTCTAACCCTAAAACCTACATGAGCACAGGTACACATTCTTACCTCAGTGCTGGGCCTGCGTTTGAGGCAGTTGGCGTTGAACTTGTTGACGTGGAGAACGTGAATCGCACACTTGATGCTGAGGTGATGGAGCTGACTCGTCACTTTAAGGAATAATAAGTCGTTCTGAAATCAAGGGAAGAAAATTGAGTGCAAACACAACAACGGAGAGAAAAAGTGAGCAACAAATCACCGTGTACATGGATTCACTTTCCCCACAACATCCTGGATTCTATAAAGTTTAAGTTTTGATGAAACTGTGCAGCTGTTTCACCGTCACCTCTTTATAAACTCACCACGGTGAGGAACTGCAGCATCTGTCCGTCCACTCGTCCGTCATTGAACTGATCTTTGTACTGAGGGAGGCCGATGTCGTCGAGCCAACCTGGAACATTCGATATTTTGGTTTTTATGACGATTAAGTTCAGGATAATATTTTGCCAACGTGCCAGTGTGTTATTTAAGAGCTCACGTGTGACCCAGATGTAATCGAGCTCTGCGGACTTCTCCGGCTGCTTGCTGCTGAACGTCTTGGCGGCCAACAGCAGCTTCTTCCTGTGGAGCGGGTTCTTCATCGCCATCTCCTGCAGAGACACAGAGAAATTTCCCCAAAGACAAGACATCTCTTTAGATTCACCTGAAAACAGAAGACTACATAATCAAAACGAGCACGGTGAGAGACGGAGCGGCACGTTGGACAGACAAGGTGACAGCGGTGAAGGCAAAACTAAAGAGGAGGTTGAGAAGCAGCGATGGGCGTAACTAAAGGCCAAAACAGACCGACACACGGCGACGCCGATCAGACAAGCAGAACCGAAACGTGACAGGACGGATGGATGAGTCATTTGTCAGGGATGTAAAAATTAGCCAGTTCCAGATGCATCCGTACTGAGAGGTGATAAACTGTACGTGTGTGTACCTTCTCCAGGTCTTGTGCGGTGGCCGACAGTAGAGTCTGACCGCCGGTGACCCAGTGGCGAGCAAAGATGGCGTACTGACCGAGTCCGATGTCCTCAAGCCAATCACACACCTGATCTGTGCTCCACTTGGAGAAAGGTAACTTCAGGTCTCTGGGGGGAAAAGAAAAATCGTTTAAAATGAGACGATACTTTTGTCCCCTTACCAGAGGAGTACACGTATGATAATATGTGTTGACATGTAAGCGTGTAAGTGTACCGTGTGTTCCCTGATCGGGCCAGTCGAGGTCCAGCTGTGGCTCTGAAGCCTCCTCTCTTAAACTCTCCCAGATCCGGGTCGTGAACCTGGACAGGACTACCTGATTGGCTGCGGCGAATCCTGAGGACAACACACGAAAAGAGACAAAGAGACAAACACTTTGAGAATGACGAAGAAATCTGTGTGTGAAACCAAAAGACAAGCAGTTGAATACGCACTTCCCCCAGAGCTTCTTAATGCCTCTGTGACTCTTCCTGTTCTCTGGTGAGACCGGCGACTGTTGTCCAGAGTCCACTCCGGAGGACAGAGGAGACTGGTCTGAGAGGACGCACTCGTCCCGCTTCTCTGGACATCCTGACAGAGAGAAACACAGCAGGGAGGTTGATGATGTGAGAGCAAATCAGGTAAATTATTAAACTTGCAGGGGCCTTAATGGGTTTATGACCAGTAATGTCCAAAACCTTCGTATGGAACTAATAGTATGTGGATCGCATACTTTACATACAGGGAAATACTACAGGATGCACAATGCAAATACTGCATGATGAAAAGTACAATAACACCTACAGAGAGAGAGAACTGGAAGACGGAACTATTGTCTCTGTGTGAACAATGACTGGTATCCAATGGACACTTTTGCTTGTACTTCACCACTTTATGGGAAGTAAACTGGGAATTCTCTCAAAGTCCGATGGATTTTATCATATACAGTAAATCAATCATGACATCTCAGCAACGTCTCGTTTGTGACTTCCTCAAAAATCATGTACAAATATACAATTCAAGCAATTTTAGCAACGTATACAATGAACCTCTGGATCCATTCAACCAGGAATCAAACAAGTCAACAGTGCGATGACAGAGCGACACACTGGGAGTCAGTACCCACCGACATCATAGAGGTCATGTTTCCCAGGAGATCCTGAGGCAGTTAGTGAAGCGGGAGGAAAGCAAGTAGACAGAAATCAGAAGCCAGCGTTAGTCACACCCACGTCATTTATAAGAATATGTGTCGTACACATGTGAAAAGTAGCAACGCGCTAACCTACGAGTGACCAAAGAATTTCCATCCTGGAGTTGTTACACAAACATGTCCGAGGCAAAGGAAGTTTTAATTTAATCTGTTGCTGCCTCATGACAAACTGTTCAATGCTGACGTTTCGTTGTTTACTTAAAGCGCTCCCTCGACTCGCTCCTTCTCAGCGACATCCTGCTTCAGACCGCCGGCGAGAGGGCAAGCAGGGTGAGGCGGCGGGAGGAAGAAGTGGGGATGTCAGGTTGCATCCCTGTTTGTTTACTCTGGGATGTCAAAGCCAGTTGAACTGTGTGCATCCTTAAGTTGCTCTGCTCTCTCACAGCTCTCTGTTCACACTCCTGCTCTAAGCTCTCGCTCGGCGTTGGCGGATACATGGGTGGCTGCTCGGTGCTTATATGCCTGTTAGCTTTAAGAGTGAGTGTGTGTTCGTTTCGGTGAACGCTGACACGAGAGAGCTGAGCATTATCTCCAACACAGCTCTGCGAATCATGGGAGCGAGTCCTAATAATCCTCGCTTTATAGTTCGCTGATCCTCGGTGAAAACAGTCGCTCACCTCTGATGTTTCACCGTGACGGGACAATCTTGTTTTGTTCAGGAGATAATGGATGTAAATTTTGTTGGTCCGAAGGTTTTTGCAGGTTTCAACTTTCTAAGACCAAATTGAAGAAGTAAGACAGAAGCGGAAACTTACGCTTCCCCATAATTAAAGATGAGAAAGCCCAGTAGAAACTAAAGGAGGATTTATGCTCAACATTAGCTACATAAATGCGACACCTTCAATCCGAGCAGCACCACAAGAAACCATGAGGGGGCAGTGCAGCCAATGGTTCAAGTGAAGTGACCATAGGAAACAAATTTGAACATTTTCAACATGCATGTTGGAAAGTTGGAACCATTGAAACATTCAACTTAGCGCTGCCCTCTAGTGGATTTACTGCTTAACAACCTCGCCAGCGTAAAAGGACGATTAGAAGTACGAAGGCAGTGACGGTTACACACTCTGAAATAGACGTATCTCTTCTCGTACGTAAAAGCAGCATAAATGAGCCTTAACCCTCGAAATGCCAACAACATGCAACATGCAAACAATCCCTGGTCTGGTTTTATTACAAGGTGTTTATATCTGTATTGTTGAGAAAGAGCTACAGCTCATGACAATGGAATTAGCATTAATGAAGGTTGACGTAATTAAGACCCACTAAAACGTATCTAAGACCTAGTTTGTAATAATTTACCATTAATAAGTCTTTAAATTCAGGTTACAGCCTTGTGAAGGTGTATTTCCAGTGTTGACATTTGAATTTACATGTGAGCATACAGTACCTAAAGCCGGAGCACTGGCACTCCTGCAGCGGACTGTTGCCAGAACACAAACAAGAGAAAAGGAGGAAAACGAGGAAGAGGAGGAGGAAGGGGAGGAAGGGGAGGAAGAGGAGGCCACAGAGGAGGAAGCAGTTGGAGCAGAGTTCGTTGACAAAGTTTATTCAGGGTGAGTTCAGTCCATTAGTTATTATTAAAAGTCAAGGATCTGTTCTTCCAAAATCACAGAACCAGTTTCCCATTCAAGGGAATTCTAGATGTCTGTGTGGCGAGATACAGCCTGAAGCTCGTTAGCTTAGCATAAAGACTGGAAGTAAATGGAAACAACTAGCCTGGCTCTGTCTGTGTAAAATTTGCCGCTATTGAAATCTGGCACAAAACCATTGTTACAACCAGGACTTACACGATATAACGTAATAATCAATGAGCTTTAGAGCTTTAGCTCTTCCAGTTGCAGATAGAGTAGGATTATTTTTTATCTTTGAACATTTCCACTTCTTCCAGTCTTTGAGCCGCTGTCTGTAGCTTCATATTTACTCTAAAGGCCTGAGAGCGATACTGACAATCTCATCCAACTTTAAACAAGCGACATTCTTCTCAAAAATTTAAGTCGTGCAAAATATAAACTCAAAACTGTCAGTCCCTTTCATTAGTATGAAGGACTATTAGAACATGAGTCAAACAAAATCATAGGAATAAGAAGAATTACGAAGAAATGTTGGGAATACAGTTGAAATTTAGTCAAAATGATCTAAATAAAACCAGAATATTGATAATGAAGTAGTTTTTCTCCTCATGTGTCCGACCACTAATACTCTTTCATGCTTCAGAAAGTATTTTCAATATATTCAGTATTTTGGTTAGTGCTGCTCAGACTCACTCAGTCTGTAGTCCTGCCCGTGGCTGTGCACAGACGAGAGCTGGACAGGAGATGAATATTCTCCGTCTCCGTTCAGCTCAGGTCTCCGCTCGCTCTTTTTACTCAGTTTCCCCGGCAGAGTCTGATACTTGCTCAGCTCCAGGTGAGGATTCTGCAAGAGAAAAGAAAAGAAACAATAAAGATATGAAAGTTTTCAAACGAGCTTCATGTGTTTGTTCCATTTGATCGGGTTAGTTTTGTTTTTACATCGTAATTTAAGGAGCGCACTAAAGAACTTTATCTCATTTTTCTCCTGTTAAAAGTTGTATTTCGGTTGTTTTCCCTCAATTTAACTTGAAGTGCAGAAGATGTCGCACACAAATCAAATTTGACTGATTGACTTTACTCCACACCAGCTCAAATGAGCGTCCTGGTCGTTCAAACATTACATCGTCGGAGGTGAAGACGGCAGCGGCCTCCTCTTCTTTTTCTTCTATTGTTTAATGGTGTCTGTACTTCCTGTGATCGGTCTAAAACAAACCGAACCATGGTTCAGTTTGATCCGGACCCAAAACGCCTCTTTGGTCTGGACCGTGATCTAAAAGATCCGATCAGATTTTTATGGTGAGTCAAGCACCGAGATTCAAATACCCTAACATCATGTACGATGAAAGTACGGGGCTGAAATTCAAATTCCTCTGATTCCAGCTTTGAATTCTGCTTTTGATCAACAACGCAAAGCTCAGACATGTTTCAGAAATGCATCGTCATGTGTATTGTATTAGTTCACATGTTCTCCACTCCTCTCCTCAGCTCCATCAGTTAATATCTTTCATAAGAGGACGTCGGGGGTCATGTTTGATTCGCTCCTTTGTTCCTGCGGAGTCTGATATCTGACCAGGCGTCAAAGTCACCGGGGCTCTGGAGGAGGAACAGGAGAAAGGACAGCGGGGAGAGAAACAGCTTGGGGGCAGCCATGACGCCAAACACTCCTGACAGCCTCTTCAGGTCGGCCCTGTGCGCCTGCGTGTAAATGATCATGTGTTTTATGAGCGTGCGGTAAAGTGCAGCGGTCACATACAGGAGGAGACGTGCGTGTCACACTGGGAACAGGAGGTCGGAGGATCACGGAGAGCGTCACGTTCGCTGTGCAACGCCGCAGAAGTGTCAGAGGTGGTTCTGGTGTCAGACATGTTCAACATTAACAAGCTCGTCTCAGTTTATAAAAAGGATCACAGGAACAAATGCGCTCCTTCTTACTCCGCCTCCTATGAAAAATATTTTACATCAACAATAATATGATTAAACTAGAATCCCCGTCCTCCACCAACCACTACATTATTTATCAGGTCATTGTGACCTTTGACCCAGGAAATCTTATAAATTCCTCCATGAGTTACAATTAGTCAAAATTTGAAGAAATTCCCAAAAGGCAGATTTAAGATAAATTATGTTAAAGAGGCCAAAACGTGTTTAAGAGGCCAGTGTGACCTTCGACCTTCAACATCTTGCATATCAGCTCATCCCTGAGTCTAAATGCGTCACAGGTCCGAACCCTGTTTCTGTGCGTGTGAAACGTCTGCTCTCGGTTTGTTTTGTGCAACAACCAGTAGAAAAGTCAGGTGACGTGACGGTGAATGAAAATGAGGGTGTGGGCGGGGCAGTTTAATTCGTCATCACTTCACCTGACATTCTGGCGTCGTTACAGAATTGTCGTGCGAACGAGAGGAGCTGGAAATCTGAGCACGAGCAGGGAAGTCTGAGTGCAAGCTCAAGGGTTGTGAGTGAAAGCGAAGGTGAAATCAATGAGTTCTGCTCTCAGAGGAAAATAAAACCCAGAGGAGGTTCGGTTGCGTGAGGTCGAGCAGCAGATCAGTACCTCTGCCCCTACATCTGATTCACTTTCAGCAGGTTGGATCTCTACAGCCTACAGTCAACACAGATACAAGAGGACACACACACACACACACACACACACACAGATACACACATTCAGAGAGAGAGAGAGAGAGAGAGGGTTAGTCAGAACAATGACGTTAATTATAAGGAACAGGAGTTAGTGTTATATTAAACTGGTTAAAGAGCCGGTTCAATTAGAGAGTTAGTTGATGTTTACTGTTTTGTCAGCATCAGGAAAACAACACGAACAAACCGTTTGTAAGGATCCACTCTGCAGCTCCTCCAGGCTGCTGGACAACAACCTGCGCTGATGCCTGAGGAAACAGACAAGACGTCACATGATATCATATTATCACCTCCACCGTGTTTCATTCACCCGTTTATCATTCTCTCATTGTTTCTAGGTCTTTTATTGTGTTTTTCTCTTTCTACAAATTTTGTTTCTAACATTTCCCATCTTGTCTTTTATTGATTCTTTGTTCTTCTTTACATTAATTGTAAAGCACTATGTCTCAACTCCGGTTGTTTTTAATGCGCTATTATTAAATCTGACTTGACAACCGAACGTTGAACCATGAACCTTCGTGCGAGGATGAGAGACGGACCGAGAAAGATCTTGATCTGGACAACGAGGCGGATCCAGGAACTTTTTTATCACTTTGACATTGTGAAATCAAGAGTTTTCTGACATTTGATTGTGCTCGATTGAATTTGAAGGGATCTGTTGGAAGAGGTGTGCGCTCCACAAAGTGACTTTTCATCTGTGGACGTCCAGAACAAGTCACACAAACTCACCAGGAACCATTGAAGAAGCTTGTATCTGCAGTCGACACCAACGACGTGTCCACTGAATTAGTGATGCTACAAAAAAAACAAAACGCAAACATTTAGATGATTGTGTGTGTGTCCTCTTATTATAAATCAATTAATTTTAAAAGTTAAGATTAGGTTGAGATGTGTGTACTTACCTGAAGTCCAGTTCTCTCTGGTACGGAGATGACAATAACATCAGCGGGGAAGATCCTCTCGATGACATCTTTGCAGAGTACAAACACAATTCAGTTTGATTTCAGTGATTCAAGCTGAATATCATTTGTGGAGAAATGTTTCAGGCGACGAATATAATAAAAGTACGACACAGTTTGTGACGTTACCTCCGACCGAAGGATGTCAGAGTGAGTTTTGTGTGTGATGGCTCTGAGTTTCAAACTGCTCAGCTCCTCCTCGCTGCTCCCTGGTTGGTAAGAAAACACACAGATCAATAATATTACAGCGAATAGAGAGAAGAGAAGGAAGAGGAGTCGTGTGCCGTGTTCAAAAAACTCGTATTTTCAAGACGTACCCTGAGCGAGGGCGATGACCTCCCTCATCTTTCTGTATTGGCTGAGGAGAATCGTCAACTCCTCTATCCGACGATCCTGTTCGTCACACAAACGTTGAAGCCTTAAATAAACGGGGGCCGTTCGTACGAATTCAGGTGTGAAATAAATGATTTAATTTACCTTTTCATCATTTGACGCCAACAGAGACTCCATCCCCACCTTCAACCTCTGGTATTCCTGGTCTGACGAACAAAAGCAAAGGATTCAAGGGTTATTTTGGAGTCTCAGTGACCTCACACCCAGTTAACGTGGGCGTCTGATTGGTGCCTGATGTGACGCCGGTAACGGACGTGACAGCTTCGCTAATATGAATAAACAAGCACAACAAACAGACACTGACAGCGCGACTGATACAGAACCAACACCTGAGACCAACACTGCAGCACGGAGCAGGTGCTGTGTGAAGCAACGGTGAAACAACTCACTACATTTACATTTTTAGATGAAGCTGACGTACACGATGAACACACAGAAACACAACGGAACATTTAGAGAATAAAATCAAAATATTACAAGAATAAAGTCTTTTCAGAAAAAGAGAGAATCCTCTTATTTTGCCTGATGTGACCAATGAGACAGTTTCCTGTGTTGTTTCATTCAAACTCCATCATGACACAGAGCCTCATTTCAAAAGTCTATCCTTTAAATATTATGATTTTAATTCTTACAAATGTGTTCTCGTAATATTCAGAATTTCTTCTAGTAATATTACAAATGTATTTGAGTAAAACTTAATTTATTCAAGTAATATAACAACTTTACTGTCATAATATCACAAATGTATTCTTGAAGTCTCAGATTTGTGGGGGCACAGAAACGTGTACTTATATGTTCACCAACAAACACACAAACACACAAACATACAAACACACAAACATACAAACACACAAACATACAAACACACAAACATACAAACAATAACAACAAACACACCTGAGGTGAATCTTGATTGACAAACAGAAACATGTTTAAAGGGGAACGCCACCAATCTTACTCCCAAAAATCTGTTGACTGGATATTGTTTAACTTTTAAATTGTAGAACAAATGAAAGAATCTTTATCTTTTGATTCATAAATAATCTTCTGTGGCTTCGGAGGAACTTTGTCTGATGATGATATCGAACGTATCGTCAGAAATCATGACGCCCCTTTAAATGATCCGGTTTGTTGCAGTGGAGGCGAAACAAACCAACACGGATCAACTCTAACATGTGTGATAGACATGTTAACATGTGTGATAGACTTGTTAACATGTGTGATAGACTTGTTAACATGTGATAGACATGTTAACATGTGTGATAGACTTGTTAACATGTGTGATAGACTTGTTAACATGTTGGATGAGTTACACTCATGTACACAGAGGGTTTTACGTGTTTATAAAGTGACCACTGAGAATCAGCTGACCGTGGATAAGCAGGTATTATGGTAAAGTTCAGTATTTTCTTTGGCCACAGTATAAACAGGATAGAACCCCTGAAGGTTTATGATGTATAATGACGTTTTCTACACGACGGACACAAACTGACTCGGCTCCGGTCCAGTTTCAAACCAAACGCTCTCCCAGCAGACGCCTGAGTACGACGACGTGAAGCTTTAACGCAGTCAAACGCTCGCGGTCAGGTGGCTGCACGGTCGGAGCGGTTTGGTTGGAAATCAGACTCGTTCACAACAGCACAGCCTTACATTTGTTAATCAGCTGCTTGATATACACCTCCTCTAAAGCAGAGGGCAGCAGAGAGGTGAGGAGTCAAGAGAGAGGGGGACATGTTGATTAGATGCTACAGTTTTCAGAGTCGACACACGTGCACGTTGCTGGCTCTCACACACACACACACACACACATATTCTCACTGACAGATGTGCACTGTGCCACGATTGGCCGGGATCTCGGTTGAGCGTACCTCTCTCTGCGTTGTCGTTGGCCGAGCCGTCTCTGGCGAGCAGCTGGGTCTGCAGGCACTCGATCTCTGCGTCTCTGGAGGCAACGAGCTGCTGCAGATCGGAGATTTCAGCCTGTGGAGGGAAACCGAGTCGGAGTTGTAAGTTCAAGGCAACTGGGCATTTTTATCAGGTTTGTCCGAGGACGGAAAAACATCACGTTGAAACCGTCACGTGGAATGAGATATGAATTGCTGTCTCAAGCCGTTTTCAGACTTGAACTCCAGAGAATGTCCGCACAATTGGTTTTGGACATTCTCCGAGAGATTCTCCGCTCAATCGCGATAAAGCAGAAATCTCCAGAGCTTTCAGATGAGGGTTGGTGCAGCAGGCGGGATGTATCAATGCCCCCAGGACGTAACTCCTGGAGGTCGAACGACACTGAGAGGCTGTTGTTTTTCAAACATATTAAAAATACTATTTTCAAATTATTCAAAATTGAATTGAAAATTGTTGTTTAACTTGAAATAATAAATAATATGTCATCTCCACACGACCCCTCAGATAATGACAGATCAATGATTTATCATTTTACAGGCACCAACTCTGAAGAGCCAATGAAATGTGAGGTTTCTATGAAAGGAAACGGCTAATTGGTCTGATACTTCTCAAAGAGTTCCTATAACATTCACAACAACTGAACGTACACATCACGGAGAATCACATTATTCATGCAAACTGTCAGAAAACATGTCAAGACGGAAGAGAGATGAGCCAGAAGCAGAAGGACAAAGTTTCTTCTGCTTCTGCAAACACAAAAATACAAAAAAGAGGATCAGGAGGAGGAAGAGCGGAGAAAAGCAGAACACTGGAGGGCAGAGAGGTGGAAAAGCAGAAGGACGGAGTGATGCAGCGTATCAGGGAAAGGACTCAATCAGAGGAGGGAGGCGGCAGCGAGCAAGAAGAGGAGGAGGAGAAGGAGGAAGAGGATGCACCTGTGCGCTGCGCCAGCGCTCCTCCCACTGCTGCTTCTCCAGCTGCGTGTGCTCGACAGTCAGCTTGAGGCTGGACAGCTGGGTAATGAGCGACTGGTAACACACATGGAGAGAGTAAGAGATAGAGAGATAGAGAGAGAGAGAGAGAGAGAGGAAGAGAAAGGGAGAGAGAGGAAGAGGGTAATGGCAGGGTTGATTTAGAGATGAGGAGAAAGAAAGGAAGAGAGGGAGCAAGCGGCAGAAAGAGAGAGAGAGAGAGAGAGGTTAATAGAGAAGAAGAGAGGAGGAAGGAAGCAGTGTGAGCACAGAGGAAGCAACTTTCACCTCCTTCCAGTTAACAACGATCAGTACATCAGGAGGGAGGTGCTCCTTGATCACAGCTCATTAACAACTAAACTATTCTGCTTTCTTCAGGGTCTCCTGATCAAATCGATCTGAAGGACGTCAATCGTCTCAGTTCAGGGGCTTCGTCCTTCGGAGGCTGCATTTGGAGACCGACTGCTGATTCTGAAGCCTCCTTCAAATGCGTTTTTCCATCTCCGAGAAATAAAGGCGCCAACGGACGGATCCTTCCTGTCCCGACCTATCCCAGGATTCATTGCGCTTCAGTGACGAACCGTGTTGTAAAGAGGTTATGACGCTTCGACTCAGCTGAACTTAGCTAACGCTACTAATGTTAAAACTTCCACTTCAGCTCTGGCGGCTGGAGCTGGTGACGGCGATCACGTAAACAAAAGAAGAAGAACGGGCCTGACTTCTTCGTTTGGTCCATGTCCCATCCACTAACGTGGAGGAGGCAGGGTTTCATGAACTATACTTGATTTGGCTTTACTTTAATGAGCTGTCAGGTTCATTCATCTTTCTTTACTCGGTGGTTTCAGGCAACACTTTGTCCCGGCTCACTTTAACCTGATTAGTAGATGAGATTGTTCAGGACGAGCTGATGATGCTCACGAACTCGTTGACGGGTTTTCACCTTTGTTGCTCGTAGCTTCTTCTCGTATCGACTCTTCTCTCCTTCCAGCTCGTCCACTCTGCTTTTCAGCTGCTTCACTTCTTGTAACAGATCCTGTAGAAAATACAAAAACAAAACACCACAACTTTAATTTCTCCCGTTTCGAATCTGCACATGCACATGCCAACAATTTACACGCTGGGGGGGGGGGGGGGGGGGATTCGGACGTCAGGTTCACATTCAGTGCGGTTACAAAGGTCTCCAGGGCTGAACAGTCCAGGGGTTAATAAAGGAAACATGATCCTCCTGAAACAGACACCACAGCGTGCAGTTATCAAACGGCCGGGGGGGAAGGATGAACCCAGAGCAGGACTGAAAGCATCCAGGCTGCACATCAGGCGGTCCGAGGAAACCCTGCACAGCGTCTCATTATACAAACCGTTACATGACCCCTCCACCTGGTCAGTGTAGGAGGACTGTGTTAGTAGAGGGAGGAACCACTGTCATGCAAGAGAACTACGTCAAATCACTCGATCTGATCCAGAACCCAAGATTCATAAAGACAAAATCCAGACCGGGGCTGAAACGTGTTTTTTTTCCAAATGCTTCAAACACGTGAGGAGTCAAAGATTCTGCGTCCACCAGAAAAAAAATTACTTTACTTCCTAAACTACCTGATGATTTTGTGTTTTAATTTACTTCACTTTACTTTAGGATATTTGACAACTCCTCAAACGTATATATGGAAGTATTTGGAAAAACAATCGACAGTCTCCATTTCTGCAAGAGCCAGAGCACAGCGTGACTCCAGCGTCCTGCGACACACACAGACACTTCACGAGAGGTTGTTAGTTTGATTCTGTGGAAATATCCAAATACCGGGTGGTGTGTGGACGGGTTAAGAAAAGGGGAGAGGACAAGATGAGAAGAAATGATGGGGGAGGAGGGGAAGATGAGTTCATCCATCAAGTCTCCCTACGTGTACAGTCTGTCCTCCATTGTGCATCCAGGCGTCAGAGCCGGGGAGGCTAAGGTCAGAGCCGGCTAACCCAGGCTGAGGGCCCTGGCCCTGGGCTTGGCTGCCTCTGGGCTCCCCCTGCTGGGCCTCCCGCTCCTCCAGGGCCCGTTTCTCCTGGATGCGAGTGCTGATCTCTGCCTGAAACCTGCACATCTGCTCCTGGAGCTCACTGATGAGATTTACCACACACTGGGAACGATGGAGGAGGTGAGATGATGATGATGATGATGATGAGGAGGAGGAGGAAAGCAGGAATGAGTGAGAGGAGAGGAAGAGGAGAGACAGACATTAACTTATTTGTTCATCTTCATCAGTACTTGGGGAAGTCCTGTTTCCATAACTCGATGACTGTTTGCTGAAAAAGCTCAAACACAAAGAAACTAAAACCTCTGAACTACATCAAACACAAACATGAATTGCAAAATAAATCAAATGAAATAATTAGTTTGGAAAATCCGAGCCCTGAAAAGAAATTCTTGATTAATGGGAGAAAAAGTTTTCATTAAATTAAAATACTTAAATAGCAAATACAGATGCAGCCATCTTGAAGACATCGGAGTCTGTGCAGTAAACTTTATTCGATTGCGAGGAGAACAAAGTGCTTTTGACTTCTGTGGAGCCGTCATCGTGTCTGTCTTCATAGCTGCTATAGTTTTATCACCCCCAGACTCAAATGATGATTTTTTTAAATCACTAAGTTTGTCCAAATGCAAAACGCTCTCTCACTGACGGGGTCCTTCCCTCAGCGGAGCAGCACAGGGTCTCAACCCTCCATGTAATAGCTCCACCCCGAGCACCAGGCTAATTATAACATACTTGATCTCCGGCCAAGTCTGGTCCCGGCTGAAACAGAGAGTTAAAACCAAAAGAGGGAGACAGGAAGAGAGGATCAGACAGATGTGCTGCAGAAACAACGGGAGACGCTCAGGAAAACAACACATTAAACTCCACGAGCTCTCGGCCTGAAAGAAACTCACAACTCTGAGGTTCGTGGAACTGAAAACGCAGCGTCGTCAGATTCAAAAGCTTGTTCCTGAAAAGTTGCTGTTTCAGTAATTACATCGTTAAACACAGAGCACTGGTGCAGCGTGTTTCTACTTCAACAGTCTTTGCAATTCATAAAGCACAGACTGAATAAAAAGATGGACGACAGCTGGCCCTTACTGAGGCCTCCTCCATGTTAACGAAGAGGACTCGGGCCAAATACAAAATACACGTCAAATAATCTTTCTGTCATTGGAGGTAGCTCTTATCACTCTGATGAATATTCAAATGTTCTCTGCCCCAGTTAGTTTGGTTTGAATTACTATGATGTTATAACTATGACATCCCGGCTCTCCAGTCGTAGCTCGTTTCAGTCCACATACACCTTTTGTCCACATGAGGTCACTGTGACCTTTGACCCTAGCACACTGTACTAATCAGTCCATCTCTGAGTCCAAGTGAATGTCCATCTTCATTTACACTCCATGGTCCTGCCGAAGGACACGGGTGGAGTCAGCGAGGGATCGAGCAGCCCACCATGTGATTAGCGGTTCCGCTCTACCTCCTGAGCCGCAGCTGCCCAGGATTCAAAGTGTTCATCGGACAGCAGAGAGTTTATTTTGTTCCTGCGGCTCCCTGAGGTAAAAGTGTTTGGCCAACAGGAATGCTCAGAGTGGATGTCTGTCATTCCTCCTGCCAGACCAACTGTCTCTCACACACACACACACACACACACACACACACACACACAC